AAGTGTATGGACAAATGTGTTAATGCATGACACTGCACTGCAAGCTAAGGTGGGGTATAGGTGCTTTGTGGTGCCACTCCAAGGCATGAACACAGTAAAAGCAAACACACCTCCACTACAGCACAGGACAATACACGGATGTGAATGCTGTGTGTATTGTGGTGCAAGGCATTGCTCAAAGTGCACATGTGTTACTTCAGCCACTGAGGCTTGTTAAGCGCCCATTCATAGTGAACTAGCTGCTTTACTCAATGCACTGTAATGGATGCATAGGTGTGACATGTCCCTTAAAGTCATCCTATATGCAAATGTTAACATAAAGCTATATTATCACTCTTGCTGTGTTGGATAAATAAACAGGAATAAGAGCCAAAATATGTTTCCTGGAGAAAAAGTTGCTGTCAGTCCGTTCAGTGATGGACACATGATGTGTGCTGAAGGGAATAAATGGTGTACAGCAGGGGTAGGCAAATTCTGGCCTCAAGCTGTGGTGAAACTACAAATTCCATCATGCATCTGCCCCTGGGCTGTCAGAGTCTTGCAAGGGCTAATGGGATTTATAGTTGCACCATAGCTGGAGGGCCGGCGTTTGCCTACCCCTGGTGTACAGCATGAAACATAGCCTAGAACAGAACATTTCTCTGAGAAAACCTTCTCCCCCTTTATTACGGTACTCTTTATTCATCCATCCCAGGAAAACTGTTAACATTTGAGTATAGGTCCACTTTACCTTTTCTATAGACAGTTTACATTTTTTGGAGAACCTCGAATATTTTTCTCCTAAGAGTTTCTGCAACTGTTGTCTTCTGTCGGCTTAGCTAGCACAACATGTTGTACTATAATATCCAGCTCAGTTACAGCACCTTTTGAAATGTTTCAAAAAGCTATTTCAAAGACTTATGCCGTGACAAATGACCAAGTCTGGTTGGATTTTCAGTTGTTGCTAAGAGCTGCCAAATATTTTGTAGTGGAAAAGATTTCTTATATTAATGGTCAAGCTTACAAAGTGTTTAGATGTTGAGGATGCTTGAACTTTGAGCACCAGCCATTTTCCAGATGGTCGGAAATTAACTACCCCGCTTACACAGACACCTCTCTGTTCTCACTCCTGCTTGATTGACTGCGGACACTGAACGCTACTAAACATTTTACTGTTCATAATCTCCTTGGCAGACGCCCACATATTTGTTTTGCAGCAGACTAGATCATGTGTTTCGATAGACATCAAAGAGTTTTAACCCCCCCCCCCCAAAAAAAAGTTATCTCACACAGTGACCTTACCCTATTTAGTGACGTAATGCCTTCCATGGTGTAAAATAACAGACTAGTAGATACAGAATAGCTGACAATTCTGCACCCCATGTGAGCTGTCAGAGAGGAAGCCATAAATATCTGCCTGCATCTCAGTGTGGATTAAAATATTGTCAACATTACATTGAAGGCTGTGAAGTTCACAGGAAGAGTCAGGGCCATGTGGGACACTATTTTGAGGGACACTTCAGGCCAGTAGTCAGACAACAGTGCTATATCCTTTTCCCAAAAGAGATTTATGAAAACATTTTTGCAGGTCAAAACACTAAAGCATAAATCATGCAGTATTTTTTTTTATTACTGTACATCATTTGTTAATGTTTACAATAAAAAAAAAGCTTTAAATCCACTAAAGGTCTAATTGCAGGGATCAGTTGGATTTATAGCAAGCGTGTTATATTTTCAATCATATCAATGTTTGCGATATTTTGTTGGTCAGAATTCACAAAGATTATAACAGTTTGATGAGTGGATTATCATGAGATAAATTATTGCACACTGGTAAAATGCCTTATGCAGCTTGGAAAATTGACCCTATAGTCCACTAACACCGTATTCTCGAATAAAAGGTGTGGAAGGCTGAAGTTTGGCACTCTCTTCTCCCTTAATATTTAATTTATGCTCTCTCATCTTATTGTAAATTTCCCACATAATTATTGATTGGTGCATGTTGGCAGAACGCTACTCAGAGTAGTGTACATCTGTGTAAAATAAACCCTTTAATGATCATGGATAACATGACAGGACCAGGATATAGATAATCATTGTCTACTTTTAAGAAATTAAAGTACATATGCATAGATCCATGGGTGTGCATATGTGTGTGTGTTTAAAAGAGTATATCCTGAGGCATGCATGTTTAAAGTGCACCTGTCCAATTTGACAATATATTTCTCTCGGGTGCTTATAGAAACAAAGGTGAATGAGGTCTTGGTTAAAAGCACTTTTCTTGCTTGTTAAGAATATGTAAACACTTTAGTATGTATAGTCTGGGCACAGGTTCATAGGCTGTTGCAGCCATGTCCTAGACTGACACCTTTGAAGTGAAGACAGGTTAAGTTTCCTTGAGTTTAGTGAATCACCCCTGAAGGTGTTGAAACTGCAAATTAACTATCATGACTGCTAACATCTGAAAGTGATCACTTTCACAAAACAGTATTGGAAAAATCACCACACACTGCACATGAACCATGAGGTGCCCTGTACATACATTAGGCTGGCATTCTGGCCAGGCCCTGGTGACCTGTAATGCAATTTGGGAAGCTCAGCAACCCACATTGCACTATGGAATGCTGAAGAGAGTGGGAAGAAATCCAGGTGTGCACTGCCAAGGAAGTATTCCAGGCTCAGGACACCAGTATATGCTTATTTTGCTTGCCAGGTGCACTTTAAAGCAAGCCTGTGCTTTGGCCATTTATGGTAAAGCCCATTCAGGGCAAAGCTACAAGTTTAACCAAATCTCCCCATTTCAGGCAGTATATACTTACCATTCCCTCACTGATGTAGCACTTCATTTAGGCCTGGGAGTTGCAGGAAATACCATGTTCTTCCAGGTATGGAGGAGCATGTAATTCACTACAAGTGACAGCATGGGGCTAATCAGAGATGCCACAGTCCACAGCCATGTGTAAACTACGGCTCCCCTGACTTGTAGCTTACACAGGGCTTTGCTTTTACTCCTGGCAGTTGAACAGCATGCTTAACAGAGACAAAACAGGTTAAGCTTATGCATCTGTGGAGGTCTGTTTTGCCCTGCATGTCCACAGTACAGATTTACTTGAAGGCTAAAAATCCCATACTTGATGGCATATTTTTTTATCTAGGTATTTTATGACAGGAAAGTTAGATACACTTACTGACAGATAGAGCTCAGCTGAGTGAAACAACTTTGCTTGTACCATGAGTGTAGAACGTTGTGGTAGACAGGCTCTGTTTGCTGCTGCAGGCCCCTGGCTTTTTGAACCATTACTTTTTCTAAACAGTTCATCAAGAGTAAAAAGCAGACACGGGTAAACAATTTTCATCTACACATTTATTTGTGAACTCTGTGTTTTGCCTGGAGTTCTTTTCAGCCACAATGTAAGAATCCATTTGTGGAAAGTCCCAATGGAGATCTCCGTTCGCTGGGGAAATAATTCCTTTGGACTACAGTGGCTGCTTCATCATATTCTATTGAACATAAAACAAAAATTTTAGGGTGGGCAACTTTAACATTAGTAGCTAGGAATGTACAGAAAGATATAGAAAGGGAGGGCCACCGATCCTGAAGCAAATGGAATATATAATATACTGATACCTTAATAGAGATAAACCCAATATTAAAAGCAAAGTCCCCTACATTTTATTAAGTGGACCATATAAAGAGGGGGCAATGGCAGTATTTATTATAAAATGTCTGTTGATTTCCCTAGACTATTCTACAGGTTTGAAGAAACAAGCCTGCACAGACAGGTCCTTAGCAGGCATTTCAGGGGAGTTGTAAGAACAAGGGCGTCAGAAGAGCATTGGTTTCCTCCTCGCTGTAACTGGAAGGGTGCAAACGGAAGGAAGGCCAGTGAGTATGTCTGCAGATCATCTGCACAAGCAGAGGTGTTACAGATAATGCGTAAGCTTTGGGTTGTAGCACAGGGCAGAAGGGCAGATGGGAAGGAAGGTAAACAGATTGCCTGAGTGTTTGTATGAAAAAGCAGCTCTGTAACCTCGTACTGCAGTTCATCTAGAGTTCAACATTTAAGGCCTGCATGGAAATACTACACTGTTTCCTGGTTTCTATCTGTCTTACAGTCTCCTGTACGTTGGCTGCTCTCATCTTCCAGAGCCACGCAGCTACTCAGAGTTACAATATCACTGGGAAACTCATCCTTCAATAGAATACCACGCTCCCGGTTACAGTCCAGCTCCTCAATGAATCCATACCAGTAAATCACCAGGCCAGGCCCAAATCTGAAATATAAAAACACATATACAACATTTATATTTACTAGGTTGAAAGTGACATTTAAACATGATAACCAGGGCTACATGTACACATTGTGCCTGCTTCCTAGGGCAGAACAACTAAAATAAAAACCAGAAAGTGCTATTGAAGGAAGCATAACATCTACTTTCTCATCAGAACTGCATAACATTGGAGTATACAATCCAATAATCCAAAGCCTGCACTGGAAGGGGAGATGGATTTATGTTATTAGAGCTGTAGAATATTGAGTCTAGTGTCAGTAGACTTTGGAGCTCTCCGGTTCCCCTTCATATAATGAATGTAAATGCAAGCTTCCATGGGCCTATCCACACCAGGCAAAAACTGTATTTTAGTAATAACTGTAAAACCCTTTTCTTGGAAGTTCATTGAGGGACACAGAATTAAAAACAATGGGCTCATACTGCCACCTACAAGACGATTTGGACCCTGGCAAAAATAAAACCAGTGACCAGCCTGGTATAACCCCTTACAGATCTAGTGATGTGTGTCTTGACAGGGAAGGGTGGAACCCTAACCTTAAGACCATAAACTTGAATGATGATTTGTCTGAACCACCTAGAAATGGGGGCATGAGAAGCGGATTCCCCATTGTGGGGACCATCAGGGATGACAAAGAGAGAGTCTGTCTTTCTAATGGAAGCAGTGGCTGTGAGGTAGACATGCACAGCACAAACTACATCCAACCATGTACTGGGGTCAGACAGAGGGATGGAAGAACAATGTCTTGGCTGAGGTGAAAGACTGAAACCACCTTGGGGAGGAAGGAGGCTCTGGGCTTTAATACCACCATGTCCTTCTGTCAGATGAGAACATTTTCTCTACAGGACAAAGCCTTCAGACACAAGCCGTGTGGAGGTGATGGTGACAAACAATACAACTTTGTAAGTGAGATTGGAAAGGGAAATGTCCCTGATGCCTTTTATGCGTGATGGTAGCTCTTCCAGGAACTGGACTTTCTGGCTGTTAACATTGTGGGGATCACTGAATGGGACAGGCCCCTGTCCCTCATGAACGGGACTTCAACAGCCATGCCATTAAAGCCAATGACTATGAAGCAGGATAGTAAACTGATCTTTGGGAGAGAAGATCTGGTCAATCTGGAAGTGCCCACAGAGCATCTGCTAGGTTGGAATACCACATCCGCCTGGGATTTGATCCTGCTGAGCAGACAAGCAAGGAGTTTCGGGGAGGCAAGGCATAAATCAGGTTGTACTGATCCCACAGAACCACCAGTGCATTCACTGCTTGCACCTGGAAACAAATCTGCTTAGTTTGTTGTTGAACCTCCTACCCAACCTGTCAGGCTAACATCCATCCATCTCAAAGATATAAGCAGAAGGATTTCTCCAACTTCAGAATTGCATTCCTGAGCCACCAGGACAGAGACAACCTGGTCCTTGGTGTCCAGCGAATTGGTTTGTCCACAGACTGAAATTATTTGTCCCATGCTACTGGCATGTTGAGCATGCAGGGTCCTGGAGTGAAATTGGGCAAATGGGACTGCATCAAAAGAGGCTACCATTAGCCTCTGGACTCACATGTAAAAATGAAGAGTTGGCCGACCCATCGACTGAAGAGTCAAAGTCTGTTAGCGGGGAGTTTTCATTTTTACATTAATTGAGTGGTGTTTAGGACCAAACCCAGATATTTCAAGCGATTAGTCGGTTCCAATACAGATGTGTTCAGGATCAGATCTAGATATTCCAGGGGATAAGTCAGTTTCAATGCAGACCTCTAAAGGTTCAGGATCCAACCTAACCTTTTCAAAGTTTGAACTGTCCACACCACATTGTTGGTCAGGACCTGTGCTGACTGTTCCCTCAACAGGAGGTCATCTAGGTACCCCAGACTGAATGGCAGGGCCACAAACTAGAAGCACTGGAAACCTACAGCAAACCAAAATAATCACTGATGTTCTGGAAAAAAGGCACAAGCAAGTACGTGTCCTTGATGTCTACTGAAAGCAAAAGTCTCCCTAAATAAGAAAGGCCATGACAGACCGGGTGGTATATATACACAACTTATAATACTTAAAGATCATACTATGCCATCTTTGTGCCAATGTGCCCCCCAGTACACTGATGTCTAGCATCTAAAGGGTTACCTGATAGTTTTGAAGTTTACAGTCCCTCTTTCATGCCTGGGTGACTTCTAACCGACTGCCCCGCTGTGCCATCCTTCTACCTGTATGCAGATATCTGGCAATTAAAGGGTTGCTGAATAGTGCAAAATTTTTTAAGCACTCTCTATTGTAGTCCTCCAGCTACAGAGGACTACAAATCTCAGCAATCCATGATTGCTGGTTGCCATTCTCCATTGCTAAATAATCATGGATTGCTGAGATATATGGTCTTCTATAGCTGGTTGTATTTGCCATTGTCGTATAATCATGGATTGATGGAATCTATAGCCCTCTGTTGCTGGTTGCCATTCTCCATTGCAGAATAATCATGGATTGAGTTAGAGTACTTCATAATTAGAAAGAAACTGCCCTAAAATCCTTAGTCTGTATTGTTTTAGAAAAATGTCACCTGTCCCTTTATGAAAAAGTATCGGTAATTGGTATCGCCAAGTACCTGAGGGAAAGTATTTGGTCTTGAAAAAATGGTATTGGTGCATCCCTATAACGCACTTACACTGCTTGCATTTACAAAAGTACACATAATGATGTATACATGAATAAAGAGCAGCATTGATTTGCATCTTTTATATCTGCCTGGAGTTCAGCTTTACCTGGCACAGAGCAAATTTGATATACTGAAGAGATTCTTTTCTAAAAACTCCTAGAATTAAAATGCTAGTATTAACCAAATGCCTAGACTGGTTGTGAATACTCACACTCAATGTAGTCTAACAGATTTTGCCACAACAATTCATACACAGAGAAGAGGCAGATGTTTACAGAATAAATGTCTCAGAAAGTTATATAGGACAGCAAAGAAAAAAATAATACAGTTCATGTTTTACTGGGGCAGTAATATAAGCAGTAAACATTCCAGCTTTTCATGGTAGGTCCGCTGGAAAAACGTTTCAGCATGTTATACCCCTACAGAGAAATATCAGTGCAAAAGTAGAAGCAAACCATCACACCGCAATGTCATTTCAGCTATACGTCTGTGCTGTTTTATTTTAAAAACAAATTTATAAGATACACATATCAATACCGTTCTTAATTTGTTACACTTAGACTTGGCTGCCTGCCTCCGTATCCATTCCTCCTACTTCAGATGGAGAGATCCCTTGGGCAGTGTCAGGAAACAGCCCCCTGAACTATTTGGCCCATGAGGAAGTTCAGACCTTCAGCCTCGGGTTCATAAACAAGTAATCACCATCAATCAGAGAGCCGCTACACATCAACCTCACCTCGCTTATACAAACATGCATGGGGGCTGCTATGACTGGCCCCTCTCCCCTACTGAGAGCACATATAGAACAGACTACTCTGGCCATCTCTGGGGCTCCACCACTGAGGCTTCATTTACATCATTCATTTTAAAATGGGGCTATAAATTAGGACTTATGGACCTTTAATTTTTTTTATATTAGCTTTTTTTCTCTTGTTAAAGGGTCATGAGAAAGACATTTGCAGTGGCTGGCATAGTATAAATAGTTGAAGTACCTCTGTGCGTAAAACTGTCCAACATATGCACAGAGATTTTTAAATAAGGGACTAGATTTGAAGAAAAATTAATTTTGATTGGTTGTTTGGGCAAGTGCATTTTGCCTAATTTATTAATAAGTGTCTCTGTCATGGGAGCTGCCATTGCAGGCTGCCTTCTGAAAATGCTAGATCTATGTGTATGACTCCAGTATGTTTCAGTAATAGTCTTGGAACAAACATGCTATAAATGAGTGTCAGAAAAATGTCAGAACTACTTATTTCTATACTCGTTAAGGTTAGTGACTCAGCATCGAAGCTTCAGAATGACAGGCAGGAAACTAGCATTTTCAAATGAGTGTTCAGTAACACTGAAGTAGTCTCTCATGACAGGGTCCCTTTAAATGGTGTGATTGAGTGACCATGTGCTTCTATGAAGTTTAAACACATTGCAACACATTCCTCTAAGCCCATGAAAAAGGAGCGTCAATGACCATAAGAACAAATATAGACCTTTAAGAAGCTTACCCAGTTTACATTATATTAATTATTTTGGGTAACATGCATTAGGGGGAGTTAATCAAAACTGGAGCAGATTTGCATAGCAACCAATCAGCTTCTATCACTAATTTTCAAATCTCAACTGAGCAAACTGAAGAGAGATGCTGATTGGTTGCCATGGCCAACTGCTCCAGGTTCTCTCTGCTCCAGTTTTGATAAATAAATTCCCCCCCATTCTTCCTATAACCTGATCAACTCCTCTGAATTATGCTAAAGCTGGCTTTAATACTTTAGAGTTACAAAGCTGGAGCGAGCATGCTGTAAAGGAGTGTCAGGAAAGCATCAGAATTCCTTATACTTGTTCCACATCAGAGACTCAAAGCATGACAGCCATGGAACTAACATTTATAAATGAGAGGTCAGCAACGGCAGCCACAATACATTTCTCTTGATAGAGTCACTTTAAGGATGAATGGTGAGCTGACCAACCAAAAGTAAGGAATGAGAAGCAGGAGAGTGGAGCAAGCTCTTGACTTTGAAAGGCAAGACGGATATATGCAAAATAGGGTGTCCTGGGATTCAGCAGTTCCAGGGGGCTTAGGAATACATTCCAACTTACCTGTAGGCACTTCAGGATGCCTGCTACTCAATGATATTTAAACATTTCACTTTTTTCTTCCAGTGGACACAGTTTTTTTTACATTTCTCCCATTCTTAACCTAATGTACCAACACCTTTCTCCTGGGTGTGCTGATTACTCAAAAGTCAAAATAAATTTGTCCCCTTCTGGTCTCCATTCATCGATTTGTGATATCCGTTCTATCATTTTCTATTAATAAACAGATTTAATGAACTTCACCAGTT